AAAAAAAAAAAAAAAGTTCTAGAATTGAAGCTGGTAGATGCACAGCTCCAAACATACTAAGACTCACTTAATTATATACTTTAAAATGTTCAAATTTGTGGTATATGAATTATATCTTAATCTTAAAACGAAAAAGAAAAGATGACTAGGAGGGTTAGAAAAATGTACTAACTCTTCAGCAACACCTGGCCCAGGGCGCCTTACTTCCCCCTTGTCTGCTTTTGTACAGTAGAAATTAGAGAACTTCACTCAGTAAGCAACAATGGCGCCCAGAACAAAGATACTGCTTGCCTTTTTATTTTATCTGAGAAATACATGGGATTTGGGGAAGCCACAGCCATCCTCTTGTGAGTCCTACAGGATTAAGGGTGGTCTTCAGCACCAGTAGCAGTTGTAATATTTGAAAATAAACATTTAGATCATAGAAGACTGCCTTTTTTAAAAGGACAGGTTCTGGGCTTTGAGTATCTTCCAGCCAAGTGTTGGGGCTGGAGCCAAGTTGAGAGCCAGTGTTGGACACTGATCTAGAACAAACAGCTGACTTCTGAACTCTGGGTTTGTCTCTCTTGCACTCTGGGGTACCAGTCCCCAAGGCGGTGACAGGATGTGGAAGCCTCCGGAAGGATGTGGGTGATTGTGAGCCCTGAGCTGCTACTGCACGTCAGCCAGGGAGGGGCCATCCAGTTGGTTGTTTAGAGGAACTGTGCTGTGCTGTGTTCTGTTTTCAGAAGAAAACAAGAGTAGGTACTGGGGTGGGGGAATTTGTCTTCGTACCTTCTACGCCTCTAGCAGTTTTTAAATGCCGCTTGAATCTTCCCTGTGGAAAGACCAGGGGAACTGAGGGGCGTGGCGTTGAATTCTGAGAAGGCCATCCCAACGTTGTTTCCAGCAGACCCTGGAAGGCTTCTGATAAGAGGAGAGAGAACGCCCCGGACTTGGTGAGCAGGGCTGGAGGAATACTGACAGGGGAGGTCATTGCCTGGGATCTGCGCTGGCTACCCAGAAGGTGTTTGTTTCTGTTTTTGTTTTTTATTTTGCAGTTTTTGGTCAGGACTTGGTTTGAACCCACCACCTCCGGTATATGGGGCTGGCGCCCTACTCCTTGAGCCACAAGTGCCACCAAGGTGTTTGTTTCTGATAGAAAACTGCTTAGGATGGGGAACTCTGCCCATCCAGGAAATTTTTCAGAAAATAATTATTTCCACTTATGAAAGAAATGCTTCTACTTTCTGAAAGGAGACAGAAATGCAAGCAAGGCCTTTATAAGCCCCTTTAGCCGCCTGGCCCAGTTTTCTGGAAGAGTCCTGTTGTGAATGTCGTAGATGGGCACAAAGATGTAGAAAAATGTCTGGGCGAGATGGCTCACGCCTGTAATCCTAGCACTCTGTGAGGCTGAGGTGGGCAGATCGCCTGAGCTCAGGAGTTGAAGACTAGCCTAAGCAAGAGTGATACCCTATCTCTAAAAACAGTTAGGCTTTATGGTGGGCGCCTATAGCCTCAGCTACTCAGGAGACTGAGGCAAGAGCCCAAGAGTTTGAGGTTGCTATGAGCTATAATGCCATGGCACTCTTAACAAGGGTGACAAAGTGAGACTCTGTCTCAAACAAAAAACAAAACAACAATAAAAAAATAGATGTAGAAAAAGACATGCAGAAGCCTGTGGAGACACTTCTTCCTAAGAGTTGGCCCAGTAAGGGGGCCTTCTCAGACTGGAGTCAGCCCAGAGTGGTGACACTGGCCCTGGTCTAGCAGAGGCCTAGGAGGCCTCTGGAAGACCCTCCCCATCATTCTAGGCCAGCCCCCAGCACTGGCACTGGGAAAGGTCTCAAAATAAACAGCTGTGCAGCCGTGGTGGTGGTGGTGGCGGTGGCAGCAGCAGCAGGTATATTTTTCTTTTTCTTTTTTTTTGTAAAGACAGAGTCTCACTTTATCACCCTTGGTAGAGAGCTGTGGTGAGCAACCTCCAACTCCTGGGCTTAGGCGATTCTCTTGCTTCAGCTTCCCTAGTACCTGGGACTACAGGCGCCTGCCACAATGCCTGGCTATTTTTTGTTGCAGTTTGGCCGGGGCCGGGTTCAAACTTGCCACGCTCTGTATATGGGACTGGCACCCTACCCAGTGAGCCCCAGGCACTGCCTTTATATTTTTTTTTGTTGTTGTTTTTTGTTTTGAGACAAGAGTCTCAAGCTGTTGCCCTGGGTAGAGTGGCATGGCATCACAGCTCACAGCAACCTCAAACTCTTGGGCTTAAGTGATCCTCTTGCCTCAGCCTCCCAAGTAGCTGGGACTACAGGTGCCCGCCAAAACACCCAGCTATTTCTTTGGTTATAGTTGTCATTGTTGTTTGGCGAGCTGGGCTGGATTTGAACCCGCCAGCTCTGGTGTATGTGGCTGGTGCCCTAGCCGCTTGAGCTACAGGCGCCAAGCCTAGAGGAGTTTTTCTCTATTCCCATTGTTTTAGAAAGTCTAACAGTCGTGAAGGGGTCCAGAAGTGAGACAGGAGCTAGGCAAGTCTTGGTGGCTCCTGGCCTGGGCCCATCTCTGCCCTGCTGGGGGCCATGGGCTTTTGCATCCCCACTTTATTTCTCACTTTCCCATCAGTAAAGTGAGGCTAATGCTCACCCCACATGCATGAGCATCTGGAGATTGAGATAAGATCAAGTATAAAGGAATATCTCACTCACTGCCAAGTGGACAGTAGCCTGGAAGTGACCATTAGTGGACACAGAGACAGGAGCTTTCTTTTCCCATTTGCCTGGAGAGGATTCTTCTGAACTGCACTTGGAGTAGCCTGAGGACAGCTCAGGTTTGCATGGTTGACCACCTGGACAGGTGCAGGATACAGGACAGTCAGTGATCACAGACAATGGGCTGGGGGTTCCCACCCTGGCTTTTACTTGCTTGGGTGAGATTATTCTGGGCTGCCTAGCCCCAAGTAGCCCATGAAAAGCACAGAGACGGCCTCCTTGGATCAGGCATGCCCTCCCAGGGGCTCTGAAGCTGGACTGTGGGATCACTCCTGCCTTGGGAAGCTGGTGGGTAGAGTGATCCTACAGTCAGGTGCCCTTGGACTCAAAGCCAGAAAGCATCCACAGGGCTCTTGTGCCAGGCATTGGAAGGGCCCCAGCTATGGGGCATATGTCACTAGGTTCAACATCAAACAGCTGGATTCCCATGTCCCTGATAGGTTCTATGCCACAGAGTTGCCTGGTAAGGCAGAGAGTGGCAGGTTCACCTGCACAGTCTAGCGTTCAAGCTCTGGCCCATCTACCTACCAACTGTGTGATCCATCCCCAGGGAACATTAGGCAATTTCTGGGGACACCTGTGGTTGTCAAACTGCGGACACTCCTGGCATGGAGGAAGTGGAGGCAGGGACAGTTTTCAGCACCCTGTAGTGCCTAGGACGACTCTAAACATCCATAGTGCTGAGGGGCAAAGATCTGTCTGGGTCTTGGTTTTTCTGCCTGTAAAATGGACATAGCCCTTTTCTTTCTGGACAGTGTAAAGTATAAAGCACTTAGTTAGGTATTCATCCAGGTGGCAGGAAGTTAACAACAGTGGCCAAGGACCCCAGCACAGCTTTGGGGAAGTTCTGGCCTTTCTAGTCAGCACACATGGTGTGAGGACCTGAGTCTTCTTTTCTGTGCACAGATTGCCTGAGGCTTTCCCAGGTGTCTTACCCAAGGGTTCCCTCTGTGATAAATCATTGACTCGAGCCTTTTCATGTTGTAGACTTCATGTAGTTATGTTGGAATTTCTCCATAAAGGAAGACAGCCCTTTACTAAGCTTGAACCTGAGGTGGCAGCTTTAGTTCTCCTTCTAAAGTACCTTACCAGAAGCTAGGCCCAGCCCTCCACCCCTGCCATGTTTCTATATTAATATAACAGTTTTATTGAGATACAAGTCACATATCATATAATGCACCCCCTTGAAGTGTACAGTTCAGTGTTTTTAGGACACTCGTAGAGTTTTGTAACTACCACTACATTCTAATTTGGAACACTATCAATCCCCCTAAAAGCCGCCCTGTCCCCATCAGCAGTCACTCCCCAGCCCCTCCCCAACCCCTGGCACTCAAGAACCCACTCTATCTCTGTGGCTCTACCTGTTCAGGACATTTAATGGAATCTCACACTGTGTATCCTTCTGCATCAGGCTTCTCTTCCTGAACACATTCTCAAGATCCATCCACGTTGGCTATGTGGGTGGGCTAGGTTGGGTTTGTACATTCACCCCTCAGTGGACACTTGGGCTATTTCTCCGCTTGGGTGTTGTGAATTGTGCTGCTGTGGACCTAGGTGGACAAATCTTTATGGACATGTGTGTCCTTTCTCTCAGGTAGATCCTTGGAGTGGGACTGCTGGGTCAGAAGGTGTCTCTGATAAACCCCTTGAGGAACTTGCCACAGTAGCTTCACCATGTTACATTCCTGCCAGCCATGTGGGAGGCTGTGACTTCTCCATATCCTGGCCTACACTATGGTCACCCCCTTTTTTTTTTTTTGCATTTTTTGGCCAGGGCTGGGTTTGATCCCACCACCTCCAGCATATGGGGCCTGCGTCCTACTCCTTTGAGCCACAGGCGCCACCCAACCACTCTTTTTTTTTTTTTTTTTTGAGACAGAGCCTCAAGCTGTCCTCCTGGGTAGAGTGCCATGGCATCACGCTCACAGCAACCTCCAACTCCTGGGCTCAAGCGAGTCTCCTGCCTCCACCTCCCAAGTAGCTGGGACCACAGGCGCCCGCCACAACGCCCGGCTATTTTTTGGTTGCAGCCGTCATTGTTGTTTGGCGGGTCCGGGCTGGGGATTCGAACCCACCACCTTAGGTGTACGTGGCTGGCGCCTTAGCCGGTTGAGCTATAGGCGCCGAGCCCACTTTTCTTAATAATGGCCATCCTAGTATAAATGAAGGGGTCCCATCCCTCCTTCACAGGGTTTCTCCTGTGAACAGTATACACAGTGCCCAGCTGCTTTGTTTGTGTCTGTGCTGCTTCAGGTCTATCTTCTACACCCAGGGGGCCAGCATAGATGGTGGGCAGGATAGATGACCCAGAAGCTGCAGAGACAAGAAGGCTTAGGGTGCCTTAGGGAGGGACCTGCACTTTGTTCCCTCCCACCCGCCGTTCCTGTGGACATCAGAGTAGCCTTTTATTGTTTTCTCTTATGTGAGGCTCCTATTGATGCCATACACTAAGGGACTGAACACGACATTTATCACCTCAGAAATCTGACCTGGGCCTCACTGACCTAATGTCAGGGTGTGGCAAGGCTGGTAGCTGCTAGAGGCTCCAGGGGAGGACCTGCTTCCCCCCTTTTCCAACATCTGGAGGACACCCACTTTCCTCTGAAGGGTGGAGGAAGAGGCCTTTCCTTCCCCTTCAGAGCCAGCAGCACAGCATCTTCCAGTCTCTCTGTCTCTGACCCTCCTGATTCCTTGGATGCTGTGGTGACACTGGACCTTCTGGGTAATCTGGATGACCTTCCATCTCAAGGTCCTTACCTTACCTTATTTTTGTTCTAAGAGTTGATGCTACAGCGTTCCTCCCTATCTGCAATAAGAACATTGTTTTTTCTTTTTTTTTTTTTTTTTGAGATAGTCTCACTCTGTCCCTTTAGGCTGCTAGAGTGCCATGGTATCACCCTAGCTCATGGCAATCTCAAATGAGATTCAAGCGATCCTCCTCTCTCAGCTTCTTGAGTAGCTGAGACTATAGGCAGTCACCACAACACCTGGCTAATTTTTCTATTTTTTTAGTAGAAATGGAGTCTTTTATTCAGGCTGGTCTCAAACTCTCAAGCTCAAAGGATCCTCCTACCTCAGCCTCCCAAAGTGTTAGAATTATAGGCATGAGCTACTAGGCTCAGCACACTGTCAACATTTGGATGTAGACCAGTGCTTCTCAACCTTCCTAATGCTGTGACCCTTTTAAACAGATCCTGTGGGTTGAGACCCACAGGTTGAGGACAGCTGATCTAGACCATTCCTGGCCATCCTGGTAGCCAGTTTCAAACAGCTGAACTCTAAAACTTTCTCTGGGGGACAGAATCTTCCTCTGTCACCCAGGCCAGAGTGCAATGGTGCAGTCAGCTCACTGCAGCCTCCAGTTCCTGGGCTCAAGCCGGCTTCTCTCCTTGGCTTCATGGGCAACTTCCAAAATGCCCACTTAATTTTTTTATTTGTTGTAGACATGGGGTCTGACTATGTCACCTTGGCTAGTCGAGAAGTCCTGGCCTTTTTTTTTTTTTTTTTTTTAAAACAGGAGCCTCCAGCTGTCCCCCTGGGTAGAGTGCTGTGGCATCACAGCTCACAGCAACCTCCAACTCCTGGGCTCAAGCAAGTCTCCTGCCTCAGCCTCCCGAGTAGCTGGGACCACAGATGCCCACCACAACGCCCAGCTGTTTTTTGGTTGCAGCCATCGTTGTTGTTTAGTGGGCCCGGGCTGGATTCGAATCCACCACCTTGGGTGTACATGGCTGGCGCCTTAGCCACTTGAGTCATAGGCGCTGAGCCGAGAAGTCCTGGCCAAAAGTGATACTCTCATTTTGGCCTCACAAAGTGGCTGGGATCATAGGCATGAGCCACCACACCCAGGCCTCTAGAACTTTTTAGTGTTAAACTTGTGACAGTTTGTTACAGCACCCATAGGAGACTTATCCCACCCAAATTCATTTTTTTTTTCATCCTACCCAATTCTAGGTTTAGAGAAATAGGGGGGAGAAAACGGTGGAATTTATTATAACATTGTAATTGGTTATGTATTATCATTGGGAGTGAGTGTCCTGGAGCCCTGCACAGCAGTACTGCAGGGCCTCGGGGTGGGGCACAGGCACTGCAGCTTCTGCCTCCTGCTGCCCCTCCAAGACTTCCCCTTCTGTCACTTCCTCTTCTAGGCCCTTACCCCTCCCTCTGTCACACCAAAGGCATATCCTGGGAGCAGCAGGTTAATCCAGTGTCCACACTGGGCCTGCCAATGGAGAACAAAGCACAGAGGCACTAGGCCATCACCATAGCAGTGACAATAATGATGAGGGCAGTGACACAGGGACCCCATTGTGAATGTTAGCCAGGTATCCATGCACTGAAATTCATGTTATCCACTTCCCACTGTAGGGTAAAGTCAATCACTGTGTCACTGTCACTAATCTGCACTTGAGGAGTCTCAGGGAGAGGCTGGCAGGAGATATAAGGCCCCACCCAGAGCCCCAGCAGGTGGCTACTGAGCCACAAGGCTTAGAGGCATTGACGGAGGACTTGTTTTGTTTGGTTTTGTTCTTTCAAGAGATAGGGTCTTGCTGTCGCTCAGGCTGAGGGCATCATCACAGCTCACTACAGCTTCATAGTCCAGGATTCAAGTGATCCTCCTGCTTCAGGCTCCATAAGTGCTGGGGTGACAGGCAGTGCCACCACACCTGACTGGTTTCTTTGTTTAAATGATATACTGTGGAGAATAGTATCGCCCCCAAAATTCATGTCCGTCTAGAACCTCCCTGAGTGACCTTGCTAAGAAGTGAGGTCTTTTTTTTTTTTCCTTTCTTTTTATCTTTTTTTTTTGGCCGGGCTGGGTTTGAACCCACCACCTCCAGCATATGGGGCTGGCGCCCTACTCCTATGAGCCACAGGCACTGCCCCCTTTTTTTTTTTTGAGATAGTCTCAAGCCGGGTAGAGTGCTGTGGCATCACAGGTCACAGTAACCTCAAACCCTTGGGCTTATGTGATTCTCTTGCCTTAGCCTCCCAAGTAGCTGGGACTATAGGTACCCACTACAATGCCCAGCTATTTTTTTGTTACAGTTGTCATTGGCCCGGGCCAAGTTCGAACCCACTAGCTTCAGTGTATGTGGCAGGCGCCCTACCCACTGAGCTACATGCGCTGCCCTAGAAGTGAGGTCTTTGCAGATGTAATTAAGTAAAGATGAGGTCATACTGGATTAGGGGCTATAACCTAATGTCTGATGATTTGGACACAGTCACATGGGGGAAGACATAGAAACAATAGAACTTCATCCTCTCACAGTTCTGGAGGTAGAAATCCAATTTCAAGGTTGAGGTGTAGGCCAGGCTGCATCCTTCTAAGGCAGTGATTTTGTCTTTTTTATCTCACGGCACACTTGAACCTATAGGTAAACTTCCATAGCACACTTTTAAAAAAAGAGTAAGAAAAAGAATATACTTACAGTGCTTTGAACTTCTTTTTTTTTTTTTGATTTTTGAGACAGAGCCTCAAGCTGTCCCCCTGGGTACAGTGCCGTGGCATTACAGCTCACAGCAACCTCCAACTCCTGGGCTCAAGCGAGTCTCCTG